ACTAAAAAAAGATACATCTCTGATTTATCACTGAAATAAATTTTAGTTCTTTTCCCTCTTCTTGAGCAGCATAAATTACTCTTCAGAAACATTATATATTTTTTTCTAATTCAACATTTTAAGCAAGTTGCATTAGTAGATTTTACATTTGTCTTTCTAGGTTTTCTAGTAGTCATTCATTATTCTTAGTTTTGAGTTCGGAATCACAATTTGTGAGCACTTTCATCCAGATTCAGCATATCTTCTATGTGCTGAAATCCTTATTGAATATACAGATCAAGCTAGGTAAATAATCACTGCATTTATATCATAATACACAACCAAAAGAACAAAACAACAAAAATAGACTTGATAAGCAAATGTGAGAGTATTATAGCCATCACATTAACCTAAGCGTGAGTGCACAAAATGCAAACTCTATGACTATTCTGCACTACTTTATGTTGATTAAGGAGGATAAATACGGGATGCACCAATGTTTCAATTGCCCTGTACATGTAAGAAACACAGGGATAGCATGCTCAGTGTCTATTACTGGACAAACTTTCTGAGTCTTTATACCAAGAACACAAGTATTCAAATTGCAATTAGGGTCTTCTGAGATTACTATAACAATGTTCAGCATCACCAAGATTTCTCTCCAACCAAATAATCTCTAATGCTTACCAGCTGAATCTATTGTAATGTTTGTCTTCAGAAATAATTTACACGTCTAGGTCTTGTTATGATGTTATTTATGCAATGTTACTTTACGTAACTATAATATTACTTGGAGGTGGCAAAATAAATACATTCAAGAACAGGTTGTCAACTACAACTGTAATTGAGCCTGTATTTTGGTTGCAAGTCATGACGGTCATAAAGCAGGTCATCACGTGGCCGCATCCAATTTTACAACCAGTGGTCATTAAGCAAATGCCGTGGTTATTAAATGCTGCATTGGTTAACCGTTAAGCAAACCTATTGTTCGCTATGGCATGTTTTTTTGCCGGAAACTGAAAGTAATCACCAGTTTCCAGAAAAAATGTAAATTGGGACCCCATGGCCACAGGACATTTAAATGTTGGGCTGGCTACCAAACACCCAAAATGCATTTATGTGACTGGTGGAGGCAAATATCAGAATTTGGGACATAAATCTATTTTTCAGAGTCTATCATAACTGTCACTAAGTAACTGATAATAAGTCATGGATTACTTGTAAATAAACTGTAGCTCTTTCCTTGGAGAAAAAAAAATCTCCATCTGAAGAAGAAAACCCATCTCTATGCCTTTATCTCTTCTAAACAATAGTAAAGGGGCACGCTATATGCACTTAATATGTGCTTCTACGTCCAATTTACTTCATTCCTATTTTCATATCCGAAAAACAACTGCAACAGTTCATCCAAATCAGGAAAGCTGAAGAGGAAGTTACCAAGTTACTTTCCTGCATCAGGGAAGACCAGTTATGCTTTCCTAGAGCAGGAGTGTCAAACTCAATTTCACTGAGGACCGCATCAGCATTGCGGTTGTCTTCAGGGGGGCTGGGTAGGTGTGGCCAGGGTGGGCATGGCCTATTGGGTGGGTGCGGCTGGAGTGGGCATGGCCTGCTGGGTGGGCGTGGCCAGCTTTACATCATTCGCGTTAAGGGTGCCTGTGGGGGCCTGGGCAGGAGTGGGACAGATCTGAGGGTCTCTGGCAGAAGGGAGTGGGACCAAGGCAAGTGCCAAGGCATAGTCCACTGGAAGAGCCTGCTGAAACCTCTCCCCTGGAGCCCACCCAGCTGGATATGTGAAGTAGGCAAGGGCCATTTGCTGGCCACTTCCAGGCAATGGTGCATTTCTTCATTCTTCACAAAAGATGACACTTCCCCAGCATGCACCCAGGGGGTGGGGCCAACACGGCAGGGGCCGGTCCCTTGCTGTTTCCAGATGGCCTTGTGGTGCTAAAACTGAATGTGTTTCAGTATAGATGGCCACCACAAAATTGTACATTGGCTCCCGGCTGGCCAGGGCCAGGGCCAAGGCAGTGGGGGCCGTTCCCTCACTGTTTCCAGGATGGCTTCGCAGGCCACATGAAACCACATCATGGGCCGCATCCGGGCCCTGGGCCTTGTGTTTGACATGTCTGTCCTAGAGAGTGCACTAGTCCTTAATTGCACAGGGCACTCACTGATGTTTTAAATACTTTTTAACAATAAAGAGAGGCACAGTACATTCTGGAATGTAGCAGAATATATGACAGAGAAGAAAGGATGCCTAACACAAGATCATAGTTTAGTGGTATTTTTGCATTCAGAAATCTTAGATTGTAGTCAATGGTAGTACACATTTCAATTAGTAGAACTGAGAAAGATTTCGCTTGAAACCTAGGACAGTAACTTTCAATCAGGATAAATAATATTAGACAAGTTAGACCAATAATTTCAAAAGAATAGGAAGTCCCTAGTTTAAGAAGGGGGTCTGTTTCCTGTTGTCCTTAGTTGAATTTGTAAAGTAGAGGAGTATCATTGTATCATATTGTATAAGTAGTATTGTATAATAAACTTAAATTATTGTGTATTTAATTTGAATTATTTTGCATTTTACTCAAATTTTGCTAAGATAGGCTCCGATCTCAACTCTGGATTGTCCTTAAACCAGGGCATTCTTAACCCCAGGTACTTGCTGTAGTATCAAATACTTTTCACTCTGAAAAACACAGACAGCGTTTTGCAGAATAATAAAGCAATCCCATTACCTGTTTACTCAAAAGTAAGTCCCACAGTATACAATAGCTACTTTTCTCCAAGTTAGCGATATGCAGGTTCATTACTATACAGATAGAGAACAATCCCTTCTTTGAATTGTACCTGCATTTGTTTTTGTTTGCACAACCACACAACTAGCAGAAGATCTGTTCAGGGGAACAGCATCCACAACCAACCCCCTCCCTAGCATTCTTAAACCAGTTATTTCTAAACCTGCTCAAAGTAGCACCAAAACAGTACCATGGTCAGTACCCCAAAAGCATGGAATTGAATGTCAGCAATCTATAATACAGACAGTGAATTCAGGTAATATATGTGTAATGACTACAAAATTGTGCAGAGCATTTAAGGATATTCAGAATCAGTGAGAACAGAACCTTAAATTAAGTAGGTCGATTTCTCCCAGATTACAAAATCAACTTTAATCCCAAAGATATGGTTTCATATAAAGCCAACGCATAGCAAAAACAAATTGCTATTTCTCATTGCTACCTTCAATAAATACTACACTCCACCATCTAAAATCAATAATTCACTGATTTAACAGGCACTAGGAACTGAATTTAGGATACCATGCATGTACAAGAATTTCCAGTATATCAAAGTTTAAGAAATACTGAATATCTCTCTCACAATTATTTATTAAATGTATAAGTTGCCATCTTGGCAAATGTATTTATTAATCAAATGGATATAGCCATCCATTTCACTGGAGGCAACTCTAGGCAGTAAAGAATAATCAACTCAAATAAAAACAAAAATATAAACTCCATATTAAGAGTATGATAAAATCTTGAAATGCAAACTCCAGATGAAGAAAGACAAAAATGACCATCTCATCAGTAGAGCCATCTAAGCAAGCCTCTGGTTGCTTGGTCGCTGCAGGCTTGAGAACACATGCAGGTCATAAGGGCTTTTTGGAATATCAAAATATAAAAATGAGTCTATAATAAAGATGAAAGAGAAAGAACCAAAGGCCATTTCTATTTCTGATAATAACAGTCTATCAAGAGCAATTACAGAAGCTGTTTAGTTTGAATTCAGGTTAGTTTAAGAATGAGGTGCATTCCCAAGGTCTGTCCTTTCCCTAAATTTCTATGTGAACCAGAAAGGTCTTTACATCAAATTTCTATAGTGTGTGAACCAGAACGGTATTATTGTACAATATTGTATACTGTAAGTAGTATTGTGTACTAAACTTGAACTATTAACTTGAATCATTATGTATTTAACTCAGATTTTGCTACAGTAGGCTCAGTTCTTAGCTATGGGTCATCCTTAAGTTGGATCTTCTTAACAGGACTTGCTGTATATTAATATTCTGTGGGCCACTAACCCAAATGATGGATATCGCATAATAATCTTTGAAATAAGAGACCTGTCTTCATTCAGCAGGATCCCAATCAAGCCCAGATACGTAACTTTCTGTTTGCTTGGTTCCAGGCCAACTTCATACCATAATATGTAGTTACACCAAGGAATGCAGTTTGACTATATAATTTAGATCTCTATTCTGCTGTTGTGAACTAGAGGTCATTAGCATGTGCTAGAGAGAGGGGATGGGATCATTGCAAGTAGTTTTGGCATAACACGGCAACTGGAAGAAGGGGGATGAGAGTGGTCATTGGAGAAAAAAAGATAAAGAAAAGTTTACAGGCAGATAGCTGCTAGTCTCCTGTAGTACAAGAGCATATATGGCAATAAATAACAGAGTTTAGGGTTCCTTAAGACACTTTGAGGTTTTAACAATGCAGATAGTCCTCAACTTACAACAGTTCATTTAGTGACCTTTCAAAGTTACAACAGCACTGAAAAAAGTGACGTATGACCATTTTTCACACTGATAACCATTGCAGCACCCCCATGGTCACGTGATCAAAACTCAGATGCTTGGCAAGTGGTTCATACTTATGATGGTTGCTGAAGGTCCCAAGGTCACGTGATCTCCTTTTGCAACTTTCTGACAAGCAAAATCAAGGGGGAAGCCAGATTCACTTAACAACCACGTTACTAACTTATCCACTATAGTGATTCACTCAAGAACTGGGGCAAGAAAGGTCCTAAAATGGGGCAAAACTCACTCAACAAACGTTTCCCTCAGCAACAGAAATGATGGGCTCATTTGTGGTCGTAAGGCGAGGACTAACCTGTATCGCCCAGCTCAAATCTGTATTTTTCCACGCCTGCCTTAAACAAGGACCACACCACCTGTTGGCATCTGCGCAGGTGAGGACCAACGCCTCTTCCCTTTTTCAACCCACCTCACTCACCCAGGTTGACGAAGCTCATGATCATGTCCGCCTCGTTGAGAAAAGCGCTGTCCTGCGAGCTAGCCAGGCTAGGGTTGCCGGGGGAGCCCAGGTTGTGGGTGAGGAGAGTTTTGCGCTGCAGGGGTCGCGCAGTGGAGGTGTGCCGGGTGTCGTCGCCGCCGCCGCCGCCGCGATGCTCGTCCTCTCCTTCCGCCGCCGCCGCTTCCTCCGCGCCGGACAGTGTGTTATAGAGATCCAGCATGAAGAGGGGCGCAGAGTTAAGCCTGCCCGGCGGGGCCGCTGACTGCTGTTGCTGCTGCTGCCGCCGGCGGTGCTGGGGGAGAGGAACTTCGAGCTCTCCCGGCTGCTGCAGCTGAAGCCCGTGCGCGGGCCGGGGCCGGTGAGGCAAGCCCAGCACGGAAAGAATTTCCTTCTGCATCTCCCGCTTCTCGTGGGACTTGAGGCGACGGTAGAGGAAGCCCGCCGGGGAGGAAGAGGTGGAGACGGGCGCCTGAGGCTGAGTCTTACCGCTCCCGGGGATGAAGCCCGCGGCGGTCCGGCTGCCCAGGAGAAGCGCCCCCGCGGCGGGGAGGAGAGGCAGCCCAGGCAGGGGACAGCAGCAATAGCTACCACACACCACCGCCCACCACCAAAACCAGTGCAGCCTCAACGGCATCGCTTTCCCGCTTCTGCTCGCCGCCCTTCACGTTCACTTACAGCTAAGTCTTGCCGTGGAAGCCGGAGCTCGTTCGTCTTCTGCTTCCACCACCACCACCACCCTCCTCCCCCGTCGTTTCCCTCGGGGGTGGCAGCGGTGCTAATTCATGGGAAGGGAAGATAAGCGCTCGGGGCTTCCCTCCTGGTCAATGACCCCCATCCCAGCTTCCGACCAGCCCCCGGGGGCTGGGGGGTACCGCCGCAAGGGGTTCTGGCCTCCTGGCCCCTTCTTCTGCAAACTCCAGGTGCAAAACCTTCTGGATCTCGCACCCGGATTACATCTCCCGCTACTCCTGCGCGGGAGGTTGGACCGACCAGGCAAGTTCAGGGAGCTAACTCCGGGCTCTCTTTTTCCACCGAGTCAGTCCGGTAGCCGGCAGTGTTTTGCGCCTCTCCCGCGCCAAGAACAAGTGAGAGCAGCCCCTTTTCTCCTCACAGGAGTGAAGTTCTCAGAGGGGGGGAAATAAAATAAAAATAAAAAGGAATGAGCTGGGCGGGAAAGGGCTGGAGAAGGCAAAACAACCCCCCCCCCCTAATCATCCAACTCCTCCCTTTCTCTCTCTCTCTCTCTCTCTCTCCCCCCCCGCCCCAGGCCAAAAACGTGGCGGACACAGCCGGCTTTCCTGCGATGGTTTTTCTCTCTCTCGCCCTCCTCCCCGCGGTAGAAGTTTGCGAGAAGGATGAGGGGAGCTTTCGAGAGAATCCTAACAGCACGCGCTCTCCTCGCGCCACCCGGGGCAGCTTTGAGTCACTTCTGCGAGCTCAGCTGCCGAGCCTCACAGGTAGCGCGATCCAGCTGGCAGAAGCGCCCGCCTCTTTTTCTCTCTTGATGGGCGGCGAAGGCAACTGTTAACGCGGCTCCCGGTCCCCTGTCCGTCACTGCTGGAACCTCTCCGCCCCGAGAGGGGGCGTTGCCTCCTGCAAGACGCCTGCTGCTGCCCCTCGTTTTAGGGACCAGCTCAGCGCCTTCCCGGTGGGTAAGATGGGCGGGGGAGGGTTACACCCTGATGAGACGGGGGCTTTGCCGAAAAGGAAACAAGTGTGAGGGACGGCTGGGTTCTCTTCTGATAACGCAGGTGCTGGGAAACTCGTCTTGGACTTGGTTTTGAAAGCGGGGGGAGAAATTCCGCTTTTCAGGAATAAAATAATTATTTCCAATGGTTATGATTTGTATTTCTATCTCACTATTTTATGCATTTTTATGCATAATCTCACCTTTTTTTACTTCCAAAGAGCAATACATCGAGTTTGGGGGAAGACATTGATTTCTCAGGAAAACACCCTTTTGCTGAATTAAAACCCCATGAACAATCATGCAGTCGTCCAGGTTTCACAAAACTCTTTTTAGGAGCTCTTCTATTAGAGGATCATCTTGTCTGAAACTGGAAGCTCCTCATAAACTCAAATATAGTATAAGTTTGAATTGGAAGGAAGGAAGGAAAAGGAAGGAAGGAAGGAAGGAAGGAAGGTCTATAGTTAAGGAGCTATAAAAAGCAAAGAAACTATAAAGAACATGTTCCCCCCTACATCTCAGAAAGTGTAAGAAGAAAATGTTTTCAACGTAGCTTAGAACGACATAACCCTACAGATATCCTTAGCTCCACCAAAATTTGGCAGCATAATCTTAGGGGATTTTTCAGAGTTTCTTACTTTTAACTTGCCCCTTACCCTGTGTAACATTCAAGTTTCAGAAAAAGTGAAATTAAAAACTATTTGCCATCTTTTATTACTTTTCTTCCTACTAATTACATAATGTCTTAAAGTAGTTTTAATACAGTTTTTAAATAAACTCTATTCCTCTACTCCTCAAAAAAGAAAGAAAAAACATCTATAAGGAGAACTTTTTTGTGTGGGATAGGTACACTCTTTGCCAGAAAATTGTATTTTAAGAATTTACAAAAGCCATCAAGTTGTAGGATCCAATCTGGTCCCAGTGACCAACCAAGATTGGATCCTGCAACATTGTCCTGGGTCATGGATATTTGCCTTCATTGGTGATCATCAAGTTGCTCTGAAGAGCCCTAAGCGGCAAGAACAATGTTTTCCACTCTATTTATTAAACTCCACTCGACGTTCATTCAGAATTTTTTAGAGTGTGCGTCATCTTTCCAGTTTGTTATACTTCGTATCACTATTCTTATAGCAACTACTGTACAAGTAGTCCTCAAGTAATGATCATTCATTCAACAACCATTCAAAGTTATAGTGGGGCTGAACAAATGATAGTTATGGGTAGTCCCTGAAGTAATGGCCATTGCAAGCTCTCCCCCCCATCACCTGGTCAATATGTCAGTGCTTGATAGCCAGCCCACACCTATGACCGCAGGGGCGCTTCAACTCCCACCACCTGGGTATCTCCCCACCCCAATCTCTTGCACTCCACCACCCTGCTGCCCCCAGAGGACCTTCTTCCTCCTGCTGCTGATGAAGCGTGCACAGCCTGGCCCTTTGCAAGGCAGCTGCTGGCTGCACCAGGCCTTCTTCCCACAGGTCTGCACGATGTTGTTCAAATCACATGCAGCCTTTGCACGGGGAATCCTCCTTGTGAGACCTGTGGATGCAGCACAGGGTGGCAGGGTGAACAGGGGCAGAGGAGTGCAGGCTGGCCAAAAGGACAGAGATGGGGAAAACGGGGAAGGGAGAAGTTGAAGAGGAGGCAGTCCCTTACCTTACCAAGGCTCTGGTTATGAGGAACCAAGCTGGAAACGGCGCTGATTGGGACAGATCCTCATCCCATGACCAGGTAAGATTTGGCTAACAATGGGACTGCTGGGATTGCTGTTGCTAAATGATGCAGTCACATGACACTGCATCTTACAACCACATCACTTGGCATTGGACATTCCAGTCTCAGTAACAACAGAATTAGAATTAGAATTAGAAATAGAACAGGACAGAACAGAACAGAACAGAACAGAATATTCTTTATTGGCCAAGTGTGATTGGACACATACAAGGAATTTGTCTCAGGTGCATAAGCTCTCAGTCTACATACTTCATAATCATAAAATACATTCATCATAAATCACAAGACACAACACTTAATGACATAGGATATTAAATCAATTATAAATCATAAGATGCAAGCAACAAAGCTATTAACTAAGGAGTATCTGTATTCCAGTGTAATTTGGACTAAGCTCTTCAGAATACATTTTTAGAGCACGGGACACATTGATAAAATCCTCTATTGAATAATCCAGTGGCCAGCTGTAACAGTCAAAAAAGGTTTACCTGTAGTGCAATATGGAAGTAAGAACTAAACAGGTGCAGGCTACTACACAGTATTTTGCGAAACTAGGACCCTTGTTTAATCACCACAAGTCACATCCTAGCTTTTTATGGATTTGAGTAGCTCTTTAGAAGGTCACAGAAAACTCAGCCAGGTCAGGTCTGGTTAGCATTTGGATGGCAGAACACCAGGGAATATTAGGACTGGAGGCTAGACTGGGAAATAAAAAATGAAAAAAAAGCAATTCCATTCTGTTGCCAAGAAAATTATATGGACATTCCCATTAAATTAGCAAAATCAAGGTTGACTGAAATATGGCTTTAAAAATGGTAATCCCATTTGGAACAAAAAAATCAAAAGAGCAGATATGCAATAGGGAAAAATCCCTAGACAAATAATTAGATCAAAATATTATGCAAATGTGTGTTTCCTCCTATTCTTCAATTGACTTATGGAGGCTCTCATACTAAAAACAATGTATCTTATTTCACAAGTGGAGTAGTTAACAGGAAGCCTAATAGCTTGTAAATAACTTAAACAGGAAGTCCATGAACTCAGAACAGTTTTTTAAAATAAACTAAGTAATAAATCTTTGTTCATTCCAAAAGATTCCTCAAGATAACAGGCATATTTTTCTTTGGCTGACAAATAAACCAAATGCAGAAGGCAGAGTAAGTTAACTGTTATTAAAAACACTACAATAAAGGGTCAAAAAAATAATATATTCCATTACTGTGTGGTTCCTGTGAAACACTGGCTGTTTTTGTACATTGTGCTAACCTATGATCTGCTTAGCTTTGATTTCCTAAACCACAATTGGTTAGGATCACCCAGCAAACTAAATGAGAACAATCCAAACCACTTTGGCTCAGTGTTTAAACTTAAATCACAGATTTGTTTAAATTTACCTTGTATGACAAGCTGAGACAAACATCTGCCCCTCACATACACACTTTTTCTCCTATAAGCTGCTATGATTTGAGTTCAAACTTAGGATTCAAAGTTCTGCAGTATATGTGCATCATACAGTTTATGTCAATAAAAATACAGAGATGATAAAAATGTTTGCAGGATGTATTAAAGCAGCAAGATTTTAATGATAAACTGTCTCCAGATGAATAGAAATAAACAATCTGTCTATAACATTGTAAATATTGTTATTATTCAAAAGTGTTTACAGTATTACAAGTAGGCTTCTGTCAAAAAAAATAATATAAGGCAATGAGGCAATTTCCTATTTGCCCTGTCCTCCTTATGCTGACTTCTATGTCAGCAAAAATGTTTTAGTTCTGTGACATCTTAGGCCATACTCTACTGCTGTGTTGCAATCTTTCTCATAAACCTGAATAAGATAATATTCTACCACCAAGATATTTGCTATCCTTATTGCTGATCTCTTTCCTAGCTCTATTGCCTCGATTTCAAGTCAATGCAATCACCTGATTTCCCTCTAAGAAAATGGTGACAAAGTCTAACAGATTTTATACACCCTGAGACAGCCCTTGGATGGTATCAGATTAAGGGCAAAATACTATTTTAGCTACCAATACAACTATGAAAGATTTAAGTCTGTCCTGCTGATGGATTAGAGACATGATGAAGATAATGTGGCAGAAGACACTGCCAGGACAAATATGAGCCATGGTTAGGTGCAAGTAGGGAAAGACCCTTAGTCATCCCTCTTAGGAAGGTCTCACTTTGAATTGAGAAGCTGGAGAAGTATTTTCTTATTTCATTATCCTTTAGAAGAGATACGTGAAGGTGCTGTTTACCCTACTCCAGTGATGGCGAACCTTTTAGAGACTGAGTGCCCAAACTGCAACCCAAAACCCACTTATGGATCGTCGAGTGCCGGGTGGGTGTGGCCCATTGGGTGGGTGTGGCCCATTGGGTGGGCGTGGCTGTGGTGGTAACAGCAGACTGGGTGGGACTAAAAAGTTCAATCAATCAATTCCAACTTTGCAAGATCTTTTTTTTTCCTGCGAGAAGTTGAAATTGACTGATTGAACCTTTTTTTTTTTTTTTTTGCACACGGTGGCGGAGGCCTAAAGCGAAAAGGCCTAGGACTGGGGCGACAGCGCGCATGCCCACAGAAAGGGCTCTGAGTGCCACCTCTGGCACCCGTGCCATAGATTCACCACCACTGCCCTAATCCCTGAGATTTGGAAAGCATTACAAGACAACAAGCTTTGTACAGTATTTAGTTCTGGGGTTCAGATAGAATGATCCTTTGTGCTGTATGTAGCATCCATGCTAGGATCCGGGCTCAGAGGACTAGGATTAGAAA